GCTGGGGTGGTAGTAAGGATAAAAACTAACGTTGAGGCTGTCAGACTAAAGATACTCTCTCTCTTTCTGTCGAACGTCCGCTCTTTGGACAACAACATGGATTTGCTTTGTCCGAGAGTGGGTTCCTCAGAGGAGATAAGGAAATGTTTAGTGCTTTGTCTCACAGAATCATGGCTTAACAGCAACGTGCCGTACTCAGCGTTCCAGCTGGATGACAGACTTTTTTTTGAGTAGGTCGCTGCAGTGAGCTAACGGGAAAGTCACAGGGAGGCGGAGTATGCATCATGCAAGTAAAATTTGGTGCACAATCTACTCTGATAAACAGAACAAAACATATCGTTTTGCATTGTGGCCAAACAGTTCGATTTTGCTTTCATCTGACCAGAGCACCTTCTTCCACATGTTTGGTGTGTCTCCCAGGTGCTTGTGGCAAACTTTAAACTGCACTTTTTATGGATATCTTTGAGAAATGGCTTTCTTCTTGCCACTCTTCCATAAAGGCCAGATTTGTGCAGTGTATGACTGATTGTTGTCCTATGGACAGACTCTCCCACCTCAGCTGTAGATCTCTGCAGTTCATCCAGAGTGATCATGGGCCTCTTGGCTGCATCTCTGATCAGTCTTCTCCTTGCTCAAGATGAAAGTTTAGAGGGACGGTCAGGTCTTGGAAGATCTGCAGAGGTCTGACACTCCTTCCATTTCAATATGATTGCTTGCACAGTGCTCCTTGTGATGTTTAAAGCTTGGGAAATCTTTTTGTATCCAAATCCGGCTTTAAACTTCTCCACAACAGTATCTCGGACCTGCCTGGTGTGTTCCTTGGTCTTCATGATGCTCTCTGCACTTTGAAATGAGAATATCACAGAGCAGGTGCATTTATACGGAGACTTGATTACACACAGGTGGATTCCATTTATCATCATCAGTCATTTGGGACAACATTGGATCATTCATAGATCCTCACTGAACTTCTGGAGTGAGTTTGCTGCACTGAAAGTAAAGGGGCTGAATAATATTGCACGCCCCACTTTTCAGTTTTTTATTTATTAAAAAAGTTTGACACATCCAATAAATGTCATTCCACTTCACGATTGTGTCCCACTTGTTGTTGATTCTTCATAAAAAAATAAAATTTTATATCTTTATGTTTGAAACCTGAAATGTGGCAAAAGGTTGAAAAGTTCAAGGGGGCCGAATATTTCTGCAAGGCACTGTAAAATAGCATCTTGGGGGCCAGATGTCAACGAGGGCCACATTTGGCCCCCGGGCCTTGAGTTTGACACACATGCCTTAGACACTCATCACTGCCTGATGCCCTCAACAGATTCAATGCACACTTTGGTGCTGGGTAGTCTGTTCAGGTTTTCAGACTCACCTCACCACTGGAAAAAGAGTTTTTCAACGTGACTTCAGCCGAAGTGAGGAGTACTTTCAAGAGAATTAATCCTCACAAAGCAACTGGCCCAAACAGCATGCCCGGGAAGGTGCTGAAAGACTGTAAGGTACTGGCTGACATCTTTAACTCCTCACTCACCCTGGCAACAGTTCCCACCTGCCTGAAGACTGCCACCATCATCTCAGTCTCAAAGAGCTCTACAGTGACTGGTCTGAATGACTACCAGCCAGTAGCTGAGGTCTTTCTGTGTGGAGTTTGCATGTTCTTCTTGTGCTTGCATGGGTTTACTCTGGGTACTCTGGTTTCCTCCCATAGTCCAAAAACATGCATGTTAGGCTGCCTTCAGGCCCAGGCCTCCCTTTCAAAAGACATCGCTCAATGGGATTTGGCTGGTTAAATAAAAGGTTAATAAATAAATGTATAATTGATGTAATGCCTATGTCTGGAACATAAGTTCCTCTTAAAATTCTAAATATCCATTAGGTTTAAATTTTGCAAAGTTGAATGTGCATTTGTTCCCTTTAGTTTCACTTAAGTGATAATTGCTCATTTTAAATTTTGGCAAAGTTCCAGTTGGGGACATTGTTTTTTCTTATTGCAACATGGAACCTGAGACAAAGAACTAATAAAGCATATCTAGTTCATTTCAACAAATTATCAAATAACTGTTGATGTGAAAGGCAATGTAAGTAGAAGGAACAAAAATAGTTTTTCTCAGTAAATCCAAGAAAAATCTTCATATTAAAAATTATGTGCAAGTTTTTTACTAAAAAATGCTGAAAGAAGGGAAAGGACGACAAAGCTGAATAATCTAGTCTGAACAGGAAGTGAAGTAACTACTGCAAATCTGTACAGCTCAGTGAATTAAAATGTCAAAACAGGGGAAAACAAGCACAAGGGTTGTGTATTTTTCTGTTTTTAGTTGGTAGCAACACCAAAACTCCTTAATATATTCTCTGAAGTACAGAAAACGTCTAATTTTTAACAAAGTCCCTTTTATAGTAGTGCCTCAACAAATATTGATTTTTTTTGCAAGCACCAAGCCTAAACTGCAAATGTTGACTTTATTTTTCAATGTAATACAAAACATGAAAAGTTCTTCTGTGTACAAAAGGAGCAAAATTAAAATAACCTTTCTTGGAAAGGCCTTGCTTGAAAACCAAAACTTCATTTAGTCACATACTTGCTTAATAAAAGGCCTAATGTGGTTTCTTAAATATGAATACGCCCAACCAGACCCTCTTCAAATTAAGGGATGCTCTCTAAAGATAAATGTTTTCCCTTTTTGAAGAAATCTAGTGAGAAAACTGTCATTAGCGACTTTAACTTCAATCTTATTTTGGGAAAACGAGGAAAACTTTGATTCAATACCATGAACCGCTTTGTGGCCTTTAATTACTGTGTACCCTAAATTAGTTGAGTAAGTTGGATTTTTCTTATTGCCCACTGCCATAATGTGAAAAGTGGGCGATCATGTTGTAGCCAATGTGTGCTTGTGTTTCTGTCAGTTACAAAAATCTCATGTACCACTGGAAAAAGTTTAAAGAAACTTTAAATGGTAACTGGACTGTGCTTATACAAGTCTAATATAGCGCCTTTCTATCTTATCAAGACACTCAAAGTGCTTTACAAAACAATCTATGTACTCATTTACTCATTCAAACAGCACTCTACTACATCTATACAAAGAATAATCAGTATCAGTGCTTTGTCACATTCATACACCGATGAGACGTATATCGGAAGCAATGAGGGGTTCAGTGTCTTGCTCAGGGACACTTCGGCATGTGACTGCTGGTGGAATTGAACCCCCCAACTCTTGCACTGGAGAACGATTGTTCTAACCACTCAGCTACACAAGTAATTTCAAGGAAATAATCATTGGATTTGCATCTACAATTGATTGTTTATCGTCAGCTTGATTCAAGATGGCCAACACAGCCAATTAACCTTAAAAAAAACAAACAAAAAAAAAAAAACACCAAACTGGCTTTAACTCAAATTTACAGATACTGATGTAACTCTCAGTATAGTTGTAATGAACACCGATTCCCAACACATATTGTGAGCGATAGGGGTTGAACGACTACATAATTTTTAAACTCGACATTAACATAATAAAACTCGAGTAGAACTAGAGTACTTGATGACATCATAGGATCTAAAAATGCAAAAATAAATAAAACTGCAAAAAAGGTAATTTACAAAAAAAAATACCAACAAAACATTGGGAGCGTATATTATGCTCCTACCATTTATCATACTGCAAATAAGTCACAGGAAAAGCAAAACTATTAGTTATTATTATTATTAAGCTGCAAAAGTGAAAGAAACGTACGGCACATAAAAAACTAAACTAAAAACAGTGGGGCGGTCGACCACCCTGCACCACCGCCCGCAGTGGTGTGCATTAGGTTTAGAGATTAATATGTTTATAGGTTTAGAGATTAATATTTTTTGCTTTTTGTTTGTGAAACAAGGTCAGTGGAAGCTGGTTCTGGTTCGGTCGATTGGACCCAGTGTTACACCATATTCTGTGACATGCAACAGTGCATGCAACACTGCCCCCTACAGTCACAATATACGGTGGGCACAGAATATGGTGTAACACCGGTTCCCAACAAGCTCCAGTCAGGAAGTTGATTCATTTTCTGTTTCCTTACGGTAGTTGAACCGGAAGAATCATCTTTAGTGAAATATTTCCATACTATTGATGCATTTCTACCCGTTTGCCAAGACTGGGCCTACTCTGCTCCAACTGTCTGCTTGGAGGAATCCATTTTGTAGCCCGCGCCCGGTGCGGATCACGTGACACGTGACGCAATGACGTAACGGCGACGTAATGACGTCACTACGAATACACGATGTGAAATTTAAAAACTCGATAGAAGTCCTATAAATCGATGTGTCGATTACTCGAGTGGTCTGTTAAAGTTCTAGTGAGAGAACAGATTATAAACGTTCAGTTTCGTCCGTAAACGTTTAACATTTTGCCATACTTTGAGTCACCTCCGTCTGTTAGCAAAATAGCTCACAATGAAACTTTCAGGGAAAAATCTTTGGATCTATAACTAAACATCAGTCAATCCAACATGAGCCAACACAAAACTGCCTATAACTCAGTCAGTTTGACAAAGATTGATTCAATTTGGCGTGGTAGTAGCTGAGAGTCCTTTAAACACAATCTGAGCGTGACATCTCGCGATATGTTACGAGACAGGGAATAACGTTATTAAGATAGTGTTTGCCATATAGAAGATGCCTTCACGGAACATTTTCGTTTGATATTTTTTTCAATTAAGATCATTGTATAGTGCTCTGCGGGTATAAAACAGAAAAAAGGGCGACTTTCTTAAGAAATGGCTCCAAGTCTTCGTAGTGATGACTGTTTGGCAAATTATGACTACTAGAAAGCTGGAATTGAGTCAGTTTGTCTCCGACATGCTGCGGCATGCAGCCTACGTGTTTTACCGGGACAGTGACGCGAAGACGTTTCGTCTTTTGACAGTTTTTATAAAGTACAGACGTTTTTTCTAAGGAGCGAAATGAGCCAAAGAACTAAGTTTAGCCGTGTTTAATGAATTTCTTTGCGCACGACACTTACCCCCAAAACTCCTCCAGCTTCAGAAGAGGAAGAAAAAAAAAAAAAGATAAGTTTATCTCCGGTTGTTTACAACCTCTCTGCTCCGTCCAACATCTGGGAGGAACATATCTCGGCTCGCTGACTCGGGAAGTTTTTCAGGCTCCTCCTCGCGCGCTCACAATCTGACTCCAATTAAGATTCAGCTGCTGCCTTCAGGAGCCGTGGGAAGTTTTGCAATCGCTCGTAAAGGGGATCGAACTGTCGAGCTTTAAATGGTGCGTCAAGAAACAAGGAAGGCGAGTAAACGTCCACTGAGTCATATTCATGCAAGGAAGCGTTTCGCAGAACTTGAAGTGATTCCGCTGAAATTAAAAGCCCGAGGCAGAAGTTAGAGTCAAAGCTCTCTACTGCCCTCTGCTGCTCAAATATATTATTGATATAATATTAATTAATTAGGATTACGTAGTAACATTTCCGTTACAGTAGAAGTGCATCTAAAAAAAATTACAATAACGTGAAAATGTTATATTTGTTGTCAACCATTTTATAAAGTGAAACGCATGCATTACATAGATGCATTACACAGAGTGAAAAATTTTCAAGCCTTTGTTCATGGTCATCAAAATGACAATAAAGTACAAATAAATTAAACAAAAGTCAGTCATCAGATACTCAGATGGTATATTAGCCTGGCCAAAGGAGGAGATAGAAGCCACCAACATCAAGATTTGAAAGCTCCTCACAATGGATGGAGGGTTTTACCCCAAACCCAGTACCCTTAGACTAAACATTCTGAGAAAGGAGGGCAGCAGAGGACTGGTGAGTGTCCGAGGACTATACAGGATGAAACAACTAAGCTGCTGGAGTACATCAGGAGGAAAGCTCCCAGTGATGAGTTAATGTCTCAGACAGCAACAGAAACCCAGTGTTGAAGAAGAGCAACAATCATGGACAGATAAGCCCCTACACGGCATGTCCCACCAGCAGATGTATGTAAGATCCAGGCAGGTAAATCATACATGGAGCACTATAACCAAGCGGCTGGAATGATCTACAGGAACATCTGTGCCGAGTATGGACCGGAGTGAGACACTACCGAGGGTGGCGGAGAAAGAAAGGTCTAAGATACTGTGGGACTTCCAGATCCAGACTGACAAATAGTGTGTATATATTTAATGTCTTTTGATTTTAATGTACAGCAAAACTACAAAACCTTAAAGTCCTCACTGACAGATTTTATTGATTTCATCAAAGTAGGTGTTGCACCTGGTTGCATGAATCAGTTTTTAAATTAAGTTATTTTTTATCATTTTACTGTTTAAAATCCATGTGGAGTGAACTTGCATAATGACTGCTTCTTGTTAGTTTGACGGACATTAACAAAGAATGGGCCACTGCTTCCTCGGACTCTGATTTTTGTTAATTGGAAATCTCTAATCTACAATTATTTATTTTGCTCACAACAATGCTACGTAAATATAATAAAGCTGAAAAGTATTAACTAAAGTATTAATTTTATACACCCCCTAAATACAGACAGACTTTACCTTCAAGCTTACAAGTGATTTATTACAATTTTGAACATATTTAAATCATTAAATACACATTTGAGTTGTCTGTCTCTGTCTCTTAGGGTCAGGGATGAAGACAGCACTCCTCTCATTAACACCAATTAATCCAAGCCTCCAGTGGCAGCTAGCAGAGCAGTTTATCTGTCCAGGCTCTCAACAGGTAATTCAGATATCAGAAGATGGATTAAACTGTGGCATATCGAGCCGGACCAGGACAGGATCGGAAAGGAGATGGCCCACTGGGAAAATCAGACAAGAATACGGGGTTGTGAGTTGGAGAGGTCTCCATCAAGGCCTGCCGTTTCTTACGATCACGCCTCTGGTAGCGGAAGCTGAAGGGTGGGCGCAGAGCCACAGGACCTCCAGCTTCTTCAGAGGACGACGCAGAAACCCCTGTGTCGACAGTGCCGGGTTTCACGTTCACCAGATCCTCAGCAGACTCGCTGGAAGAAGAGCCGAGAGGGTTAGAGGAGTTCACCACAATCGAGGTTTCTGAGGGACCAGAGGGTGCAGCTGTCGGGTCAAACGGTGCTGGCTGAGCAACAGTGGGGGCCAGCGGGTCAGAAGGAACAGGCTGCGGATCATATTCTGGGTCATCAGGCAGAGGTAGAACGGTTGAGATCTCAGGGTCTGGAGGAAGGTCGTGAACCTGTGGCTGCACTGGTCGGACCATGTCAACGTTCTGCAGACAAACAGGCAACAATGATTAATTCATGCTGCACACAAAGACACAGTCACACCGTCGTACATCCAACAGCTCTGAACAGGATTCAGACGACGGTATAATTATCGCCCACTGCTCAAGGTAAAACGATCCGTTTACTTGTGTGTGTTTCATGAACAAGCTAAAGAAACCCTTACAAAGTAATCACTGGATGTGCATCTACAACTGATTAACTTTTGAAGTCAACTCAATTCAAGATGGCTGCCACAACCACCTGACTTTTGGAAACAATATTGTGGAAACAAAATATTGGCTACAACCAAGTCAGTTTTACAGATATGGAGATAATTGGATGTGGTTCTAACTGAGGCTGATCTTAAAAAGCTAACTGATAAAGTGAAATCAAAAACTGGCCTTTAACTATGGAGTTAAAGTGTTATTTGTGTTAGTGTATTTTTTATTTGATTTTAATTATTAAATGCTTTTGTAATTGTTAAACATTCCAGTGGTTTTATTATTGTGGCACACAGGTTAAGGTAGAGATCTTAATTATTTCTGTTTATTTTTACATCCACACTGAAAGTCACATTATCACTCACACAATATTCTTTTGTCTTTTTATTATTTAAAAAAAAAATTAAATTAAAACACATTAGCTGTAGGCATGCAGACACTTTTCTTATTCTTTTATCTTTTTTTCTGTCTTCCAAATTTACATCGCACAGATTTTCTTCTCAATGTTAATTATGACTTCTGTTAAAAAAAAACAATATATATATATATATTTTTTGTACCTGTATTTTAAACATCTCACAGGACACCCGGACATCAGGATGTTTGTTCAAGTCTCCACGCACTGATCCCGTACAGAAACCTGTACTCTGACAAAATAAGACGAGGCGCCGTATTACATTAAAAAATACATATGCATTATGTTTATTAAACATTTTTTAATTATTTATACAGAAAAAAAGTGAAAAATAACAACTTCTCATACAGCACAGATACAGACAAATCAAATAAAAATGCATGTACTTGAAAAAAGGTAGACTATTCACATATATACTTAAATGTTGACATCCTTCCAGTTCACATTACTGACCTTTTAATTTTGAGACAATCCAGAACTCTTTCCCATTTTTTAAAAGCCTGGGATTTCCCCATATTACTTAAAAAAAAAATTATAGTTAAAATGTGTAGTGAATAATCTGAATACAACTACAGTCTGTCACATTTTGAAATAATAGAATCAACTACATTAGTCTTCTGTGGTTTTAAAAATAGAGATGGATCAGACATTTCATCAAGTGACAGATTTTTACAGCACTAATAATTAGCTTCACAGTGTCAGCGTGATTTTTCTCTTTTTACACATCAAGCTTTCACAAACACCCGGTGGCCAAGTACTCTTCCACTGCCAAGTTTATGATGCAGTGTTTTATTGTTATTGTTCTGTGACTTTAATTATTCATTTTGTTGGTATATTCTTGTATGAATCATGTAACCTGACTAAATTCTGAATGTTTTCACCACAGGGACATTATTAGAACATTCAGTAACACAGTGCTATTTCTAACGTTTTGTTTGATTAAAATATACATTTAAATAAAGACAGAAATATTGACCTAGGGAAAAAATGGCATTTTCTAAATAAAAGTGTAAATGGTTATTGAATTTTGTTGAAGAAGCTAAAGTGGATTTTTTTAAGCTTAAACTATCAAAATAAATGCTAAATTTAGCAAAACAATAGCTGAAAGCTAAACTTTGATTAAACAAATCCCCTCAGGAGATCAGTGGAGTGTATCTCTCCATCCATCCATCCATCAAAAAGTTAAAACCAGCAAAACATTCCTAAAAAGCTACAATTAGCAAAACAGTAGCTAAAAGCTTAAACTAAGAAAGCTTAGCTGAAAAGTAAAATGATCCAAATACTGTAGTAGCTGAAACTAAAGTTATCTGAATGGTCACTCAAAATGGTAAATTCAGAAAAAAAGATAGCCAAAGATCATTTAGCAAAACAGTAGCAAAAAAACTAAAATAATCAAAACGGTGGCTAACGACCATGAATGAAGCAAGCATGGTGAACACACAGCTTTATGTGTTCATTTAAAGAGATTTATCATGCATTTTTATGATTAAATTTCAAATAAAGTTACATATTTAAGCCTAAAAGTTATAGCCATAATATTCTGAACAAGGTGAATGTTTTGAACATTGAATGGCTGAAAAAGCTGAAAGTGTACTGAAGCAGTTAAGAGTCCAAAACCGCTGAGAAGAAACATAAACAGGAAAACAACAGTGTGACTGTACTGACCATGAAGTCTAAACGTATGTGTGGTGAAAGTCTGGTGAAGTACCTCCGTGTCTGATTTGAGACTCAGCCGTTGGCAGGTTCCTCTCTCTGTAATTCCCTCTGGACACTCTTGGACTGTGTACTCCACAAAGATGGCTTTTGTTGGCACATCCTGCATGAGGGAAATTTACATGGCAAACAGCACACATCCTCAAACACTGGCAGCAGAGGCACAGGAGTTCAGTTCTGTAACATCTGCAGAGGTTTTCTTTGATTTTAGTCCCTAAGCCCAATAACTATCTGCAGCGAGAGTCATTAACCTAACTTTGGGTCTACAAACAAACTGGTTCCTCAGAACATAAAGCACATGAAGTAAACTGTGGGTGAACTTGTTGATCCATTGAAACATTGCCAGACTACACTTCTACATCCAGATGTAATTGGGGTGTAATTTACTCTTAAAGGTAACGTTCAACACATTGCTGAGCTATGACTTCAACCACAGAGCTTCAATTCTTTTACTTCCACCAGGATTACCTGTGCTGCAGCTCGGGTGACCTTTTTCACTCCAAGTCCTGCACCCAGAGCGGACTTCCTCTTGTAGGACACCAGAGTGAGGCCGGCAGCATTCATGGCCTCGGGATGGTCATTGGGAAGCAGGAGGGGGCAGGTCGGACAGGTCTGCTGGAGCTTCTCCGGCTGATCTGCAGGAAACAAGAGGTCCTGAAATGACCATGCTGGTTTAGGCAGGAGGCAACATCATCGGGTTTGGTGGCTTCTAAGAATAAAGCCTCTTGAGAAACAGCTCAAAGTGCCAGAATTAATTGGAAATATGTTTGTAAAGACAAAGCAAATACATTTGTGAACAAAACTGCATAAATGAGCTTTAAATGAAAACTATTAAGAAATCACTAAATGTTACTCTAGCTAATATTTGATGGGTCACAGTGAGAAACACAAATTTAAAATGAATCAATCTCAGCACCGTTCAGCTGTTTCAGTTTCTCTTTCAGTCTTGATATTTGTGAGACTAAAAGATAAAATACAAATATAATAGAACAAAATTTACTGTGATTATTTTTGGTTTGGGGCTTCAGTGTTCCAACTAAATGGCAACTTTAGCCAACAGCTTTGTATCCTGATCAGCTGCCATTCTGTACATAAAGTTATGGATTATAACATTTTAAATGAAAAACATATTCCATTAATATTACAAGAATACTACTATGATGGTATTATTACCTGGGACCAGAGCGCAGTCGTAGCTGTACAGGTAGGAATAGCCCTCCGGGGTGTGCAGAATGGTGGTGTTACAGGTGCCAGAGATTTGCTGAAATTGATCAAATATAAAGTATTTGATATATTCAGACTATGAAGATTGACAAGAGAAACTGGTCTTAAGCCTCAGTCACAACACAACGACATCTTCTGACCCTGTTAGTTTTTAAATTAAAGCTATTTTTAATGGCTTCCAAAATAGAAGGTAACTAAATTGTTATAGTGGCTAAAATACTGTGTTGTGTTTTTATCTTTCTGTTACAGAATATTTTAATGACATTCATTAAAATAAAATGGGTTCAGGGTCTCATTTGCTCATTGTTGAAACTGTATAGGTGAAAGAAAATGTAACATCATTGCAGATGATGAAAACTACTCAGATTTCTTTTTTTTTTTCCACACAACTTATCTTCAGAGTCCAAGGCTGCTCAGTTTGAACTTTGGTGTGTGAATTATCAAAGTTTATTTTTTTTCCTGGCTGAGGTGAAACATTTGTAACTTTAGGCCTGAGTTTTGATGGCTTCTCTTCTGCCTGTGTGATAAACTGTTCAGTGACAACGTTTTTGCTGTTTTTTTTTTTTTTTGGCAAAAAGTCACAAAATTAAGTTTACATTCTGCTCCTATAAATGAACAAACATCGCAGAGCTCCCAACCGTATTGTTTTAAAGAACTAACCAAGACAAATGTTTTTTTTTTTTTTCTACGAGTCAAGCAATTATAACTTCTAAAAGTTGACTTTATGGATCTTGTGTCTTTAAAATTTTGAAACAAGTCAAACAAACAAATCCAAGTCAAGACTGAATGAACGCTACTCGTTTTAAAATCATTTTATGACACAAGTCTTACTTTGCAAACAAGACTTTTTTTAACCAGTATGGTAAAAGTGCAAACACGTGCTTTTGTTTGCGTAGTGTTCGTGTGCGTCCTACCGTTTCCATGAATGGTCTGACGTCACAACGTTTCCATGGCTTTGGGCTGCCTACATGACACTTGGTCTCCAGGACATCCAGGTCCAGATAATAGACATTTCCTGCAGGTCCCTGTTGTCCACAAATGCACAAACAAGTACAGACAAAAGAAACACACTTGTGTTAAATAATTATTTTTTTTTCACGCTACCATCACAGTACATGTGCTGATGAATATATATAAAGTCTTTTGTCTTTTGCTCAAATACTCATTAAATAACTCTTCAGAAACAGCTCTGTGTTATAGCACTTTGTAGAATATTGATTTTGAGCTATAACCCTGAAATCAATGGCAACACTTTAGGTTATGAAGTCAAATTGAGCCTGTTAAAATGTGATCTATCCCCTCAGGCCACCGCAGCCTTCAGCAGCATCAAGTTCATAAACTCAGCTCGTCCCGGCAGCTCTGAGCAGATATGACCTGCTCTTTAATAACAGTCACTTCAGTCCTAAAGGACGTTTTTATGAGGCATGAAAGAGGCTAGCTTGTCATTTTAGGTCATAAATTTTGTACTTTTATTTTATTTGAACCGTTAATAAAAGCAGCGTTAATGTTAACAAATAGATTTCACACTAATTTTCCAAGCTTTTTTTTTTTCCCCTGGACCATTTATATAGTTTTAACATTTTTTTTAACCAATGTGTTCTTTTGTTAAATTTCATTACAATGTCTCCAGACAGAATCAGCCCGTGACTTTTTAAAACACATTTTTCGTGTGTCTAACCAAACGAGATTTTTCACAAGGGGTTCCTCTTGCTTGGCGAGTGACTACAGCTGGTTTGATTACTGTATTTTTTCAGACTATAAGGCACACTTAAAATCCTTTAATTTTCTTAAAAATCGACAGTGAGCCTCATAATGAGGTGCGCATTATGTATTAATTCTGGTTTTGTTAACTGACCTCAAACAAATTTTGTGTGGTTATTGTGAATGAGTTGAATAAAGTTTGACTTATCTGTTTTTTTTTTTTTTGGCTTAATGCGCCTTATGTATGAAAACAGACACGTTCATTGATATTGCGCCTTATAATCCGAAAAATACAGTAATCAAAAATCCCCTATATCTATTCTTTGGCACACCATCAATAGCCTTTCACTTCCAATAATGCCAAATTTCATGGCAAACTCCAGAATTTATCTCTGCACTCACCTGAGCATGCAGGTGGACATTTGCAATTCGATTCAGGGCAAACTTGTAGCCCTCGGTTCGATCCTCGTTGATGTAGGTGGCAGCCAGGCGAGAGAGTTTCTCCACCGCTTTGTCATTACAGGGGATGGGAGCAAGCTCAACGGGCATCAGCAGATAATCTTCCCCATGCACATGCAGAGATTGGAGAGACAGCAGAGGAATTAGCAGTAAAAATGTACCGATGTCCATGGTGACAGAGGTTTGAAGGACATTGACAAACAGAGCTGCACGGATGTGAAGTTTGTTCTCTTGTGTTTGCCTTCAATCCAGAAAATGACTTTTGGAACGAAAACAGGACAGAGATGTTGAAATGAAGCCAAGGACAAAGTTTATTTGATGACAGGGGGTTAATATTTGTGAATGAATTTGCCTGCGGTTCATTAAACCTCCTGGACAGGAGAGAGTGAAGGTCAAAACTGTCATTTATGGTTCTCTTTGCAAACGTATTGTAGATTTAGTGCTGTTTCACTGCCAGTGTGGGAACTCGAGATGTATCAGGTGTTTTTATGTGGATAAACTCATTAGATTAGTGTTTCACAGTCCTTCTCCTTGGTACTCCCTGTCCTGCATGTGTTTGATGTACTCCTGTTACACCTCATTTAAAGGGGCTTGTTGTAATGTCATGAAGATGGTCAGAAATAAATCTAAAACCAGATCATATTAGAACAAAATAGCATTTCATATATTTATGTTTGTTAATTGTATGAAAACTTTGTGAATGTCTTCCAATCACTAAATGCCTGTTTTTTTTAATCTACAGAAACAGCCGAATTGACAAAGTATTTCAACAATGGCAACTTCTATGGAAATGGTGTTTTGAGGTTGGTTCCCTCATTTCATCTTTTTTTGTGTATTTAGCAGTTAATTTGTGATTATATTTCTATCTGGTTGGATTCAGTTGATTGTTTTGTTTACACCAACTACAGTTGGGTTTTCTACACATACATTTGGATGGTTTGCAAACTATCTTAAAGATAACAACTCAATAAATCTTAAAGCTAGAACCAAGGCTGTCCAGTTAGAAGGTTTTTGTTCTGGAGTTCAATTTATTCACTAGGGGGTACCACAAGGTTCTGTACTGGGCCCTTTGTTATTTATATTGTACATTAATGATTTTGGAAAGGATATTTCGTACGCAGCAATTCATTGTTATGCAGATGACACAGTCGTATATTGCTTTGCACCTACGCCCTCTGAAGTGTTTGCATATATGCAGAATGCATTTAACAGAAAACAACAACAACTTTGTTAGCTTCAACTTGTTTTGAATACTGACAAAACAAAGATAATGTTTTTCAGCAACTGAACATCAGCAAGGTCAAACCAGTCTCTCATCACCACTGGTGATGGTCAACAAATTGAACTTGTATCTACGTTCAGATATCTGGGATTTTTTTTTATTGATGATGAATTGTATTTTAAAGCACATAGTCAGTTTACTGTAAATACATAAACTGAAGCTTTTACTTGGATTTTATTTTCAGAATATAAATCCTGCCTTTTTTTTAGGGTAAAACAGAAACTGGTGGAGTCAACTTTTCTTCCATTATTGTCTATGGTGATTACATGAACACCTCTGCTCATTGTCTTCACATGCTGCATATCGTGTATCATGACACTTTGTTTTATTACAAATTATGGAGCCATAACTCATCACGGTCTCTTGTATGCTAAGGTAAAATGGCCATCTCTGCATGTAGGTCGGCTTGGCCATTGGTATGTTTTGATTTACAAGGCTATTTTTAAGTTGACAGCACCTTATCTGTCATCTTTGTTAATTTTAAACAACAAGACCTACAGCCTCCAGTCTCAAGACTTTTTAAATTTTAGCGTTCCTCGTGTCAGAACAGAAAGGGGGAAGAAAATCTTCAGCTTTTCTGCTTCAACCTCATGGAACAGTTTGCAATCAAACCTTACCATACCATACCATTTTATTTATAGAGCACATAAAACAGCGACAAGGCCAACCAAAGTGCTGTACATACAGAAAAACAGGCATCACACAAAGAAATATACAAAATGAGGTAAATCAGAATATAGACATAAAAATGATGCAGATAATAAATATTAATTCATTCAACCTTTATTTAGACAGGTAAATCCCACTGAGCCTCGAGGACTCATTTACAAGAGACCTGATATGACTAACCAGTGTGGAGCATACAGGTTCAAAACACAGATCATCTGGTGTTGAAAGCTACTGAATAGTAGTGGGTTTTTAAACGGGATTTGAAAACAGAGAGGTGAAGGCCTGTCTGACAAGCAGCGGTAACTCGTTCCAAAGTCCTTAAACTTAGAACACTATCTGAATGTACAAAGTATTTAATACCATGATATATCCCATTATGTTCAAGTTGCAGAAGTGCAATTGTTTGAGTCATTTGTTTTATTATAAGTCTATATTTATTGTGACTATGTGTTGTAAGTGAGTGGTTACAACACAGTTTTTGCATTCAGGAGCGTGAACTTTTCAGATTTTATGACTGCAATGCCAGCTGATGACCAGCAGGAGGCACTGTGTTCCTGGTCTATCAGAACTGGGTTAATGATTCACTAAAATCCACCAACTAATTACTGTCAGCATAAGTCTTGTCTTGTGGCTCTGATCTTGATGGGTTCTGTCTTAATTTTGTTGACAAACTCAATTTGACTATTTGTGGTAAATGGGCAGCATTAACGATGCAAGCTCTTCCTAACAAATGTTTACAAAACAATTGGGATCAATTTTGCATGAATGAGATGTTATGTACAAAATGTTTATTGTATATATTTTAATATCCATGGCGGATATCAGTGAAGCAGACATGGCTGCCTGTGCACTTTCATAGCAGTCCGTTTGGTTTCACTGTTCATGACAAGATCGATTAATGTCGGTGACTGCAGCTCAGAGCAGACTGGCAACAAACACTTTCCCTTTTCTCAGTCTGTCTCTTCCTCACACACATTTGTTTCCTTGTATTCAGACAAAAACAATAAGGATTAAAGGGCTAGCATTCCTTGAAGGAATGCATGTCACCTGCCACATTTCTTGACAAAGTTTGAGACAAAGATTGTCTGGTGGTGAGACGTCACATGACTGTAATCTCATGCAACATTGTGTAATCTCATTGTGTTTAAGTTATGAATGACTTCCAGATTTTAGCTCAGACTCTGTCAAGCTGACTAAATTAAAGCCACTTTTCTGTTGGTGAGGTAACAAATTTTCCCTTGCACACGTCGCTCCGCCCTATAAGTCGCATTAGTCCAAAGATGTCTAATAAAGTGGAAAAATCCATAAATGCGTCACTTTGCCATATATGTCGCATCTATTATGCATCACCGCTGATGTGTCGTATTTGTTACAAGTCACCACTGACAACCCGGAAATGTGGGCCGGTATTGTGCCAAAAATCGATTGGCTGCCAAATGACGGCCACGGGGGCATGCACAGGAGGACTTTAACAAGAATTTAACAAGATTAACACTTAAAACAATTATTTGTTTGCTCAAATTTATTGCAAATGTGTGTCTCAGTCTAACTTTTGTTTACTAAATGCACTTTGACGGTCAAATCAGCTGCACTTTCATAAGCCGATACGCGGAAACATGAACACACAGAGGGCGATTTGCTGTGCATTTCTGCGAAATTTAACAAGATAACCACCTAAAAACAATTATTTGTTTGTGCGACTTTAAAGTAAAAAGGTGCGTCTCAGTTGACCTTTTACTTAATAAATGCACTTCAGTTGTCAAATTAGCTGCGTTTCGCTTTGGTGGCGCAGCGAAATGAAGTTGATTTGACAGTTGCTCCAGGCAGACGACAGTGGCAGTCTATGGCAAGCCGATGGGGCATTAATAGCCACTTTTACCCATAACATGATACAACGGCATGCCATACTTTCAAGTGCCATCTAGTGGCTGAAAATGGTAGTGTTCAATGTTTTCAGTCAGAATGAATGAAAACGGTCATATCACAGCCAAAATTTGTTTTATAAATATGGGAAAAAATAACTATAAATCGTCACTTTTACATATAAGTCACAGGGCATGCAAATTATGCAAAATATTGTGACTTTTTGGGTGAAAACTACAGTTAGTTTGCTGTAGTGGACATTTTAGATGAGCTCCGAAAGTTGTAAATGTACAAAGTACATCAATAACTTTCTGAAAGATTCAATAAAATGCAAAATGCATCCAGTGGATCATTAGATAAAGTTGATAACAGACAAACAGACACGGGCAAAAACATAATCCTAACATTAACATAAACAACATTTCCTCTTGCTGAACTCTATCTCATTTTTTGTGGAAAGTTCACATTGTACCACTGTAAAACAATAAAGTTGCTGCACATGCAGTCTTCTGCTGCCAAGCATCTTTAAAATATATTTTTAAATCCCAGAAACTCAGGTTTGTGCTTTTATCTGATGTGTAATCAGGAGGTCGGTTTAATTCAAAACACAATAGAGTGTTAAATGATTCAGAAGGTGGGTTTTGAGAGGTTCATTTGCACGAGCAGGAGCCTCACTATCAGCGAGATGTGAGAATGTGAACGTGATACCATTAAGAAATAAGGTAAACAGAAGTGGTGTGGGGAGAGCTTTGTTAGGAGCTGGCATCGCTCCCATCCTGGCAGAACTCCACGTGTAGAAAACAGGAGTGAGAAGAAGAAATGAGGCAGAAAGAGAGGGGGAACGATGGAGCGTGGAGAGCAGGAACAAACAGGTGTGTGGGACAGGTAAACATAAAGGAGGGAGAGAGGTGGTCCTGCACCTCAGCTGTAGTCCTGGTCAAAACTGCTCACCGAATCTCAATTTACATGAACACAGTTCTGAAAATCTTTAAGAAAATAGCATTGTTCAAAACTTTACAGTATTTTTTTGTTCTGGTTATGAGAAGCCAAACTCTTAAGATTTAAAATAAATACAGAAAGAAGAAAAAAAAAAGTTTTTCTACTTTCTCACTCTTATTGGCCCATTTCTTGCTTACCCAACTATTTTCAGACTTTTCATTAACTTGAATCATTCAAACATCCAGTATAAACGGCACCCATTAACATCTAAACTTTTAATTTTGATTTTATACCAGTACAAAACAGATATTCACCCTGTCTGCAGGTAGTTCTAGAAAGGGGTTTAAAAAGCACATTGTCAAACCTAAAATGTTATTTTTGCACCAACAAGGTGATTTCCAAAGAGATACAAATACATGTATCATGAATTTATTTTAATGATATCTGATGGAATTTTGACAATGAAAAAGAAAAAGAAGCGGTCATGCACCTGCCCTCCTCCAGAGTGTCTTGTTT